AAAAAAAAAAAAAAAAGCCGTGACAGTTTTGTCATTGACATTCTGCATTCAATAAAGTGGGCAAAATCAATGGGAAGAATGTAAAGTCTTTTTACAGAATTCTAGAAAACCTTTCATTTTTATTTTTCTTGGCTTAAGCTTTGTTTCAAAAAGGCATCTGAACTGTCTTTAAGAGTCTTTCTTAGCTAGGCGTGGTGGCTTGCTCCTGTAGTCCTAGTTACTTAGAAAGCTGAGGCAGGAGGATTGCTTGAGGACAGGAGTTCAAGACCAGCCTGGGTGATAGAGTGAGACCTTGTCTCTATTAAAAAAAAGAGAGAGAGAGAGTATTTCTTTACGATACATTGTTTCAGTTGTATCCAGGCAGGTAGAAGTTAGGTTGTTTGTCCATTTGGTTCTGGAGTTTTCCCTCTGCTAAGGCTAGCCCCATGGGCAGAAATTTTAAGGAAACCTCTCAACTCATTTGACCTCTCCCATGAAGTCTTTTTTTTTTCTTTTATTAACCACTATACAAATGAGGAGCATGAACTGTCTTTCTGTTGACTTTTTGTTGACTTAATGTTTTACAAGTTTCTTTAAGAGATTCGTTAAGTATTTTTTTACTTGCCTGGAGATACTTAGAGAAAAAGACTGATGCTCACTGGCTAATGGTGTCCTAACTTTGCAGTCCCTCAGCACTCACGGTGCTGACCATCCAAGTGGTATGCTTAGACTGGAATGTGAATAGCAAGTGCGTGCGCATAGCGAACAGGAGTGGATCACTTGGAGGCAGCAGGCAAGCTTCTCCTCTACTGGTCCTCATTGTTCTCATCGCATCTTATTTCATTTGCCCTTTAGGGGGAAAAGTCTGTGCTATGGCGGTGTTTACAAAATTGGGGATTTGGAAAGTTATCCTGGTGATGACAAGGGTCCGCTGGGTTTTTTATGATTGCAAGGGATCAGGAGTAGGGCTGGTGACAGTGCTTGGCTCAAAAGAGTCAACCAAAGCGTTCTTTTTGCTTCTGTATAAAGAAACCTCAGTGGTATGTTTAGTTATTACTGCCCTGCAATTCCTTTTCTTCCATCTCTCCCTGCACGTGAGAAAGTCCACCGAGTTTCTTTAAATGCATTTCTTCTTATTTCCCATAGGCAAACCAGAGCCACTGGTGTTCCATATTCCTCAGTCCTTTTTTGATGCCCTGCAACAGAGGATATCAATAGGAAGTACGAAAAAACGGCTCCCCAACTCTACCACAGGTACAGGATTTTTCCTCAGGAATAGTGATTTCTTGACCTCAGAGAATTATGCTTGGAAAAAATCCAGGTGAATTTTCAGGGTTAAGACTTCTCGTCACATGCTTGGAGCACAAAGCCTTAGATAATCAACATATCAATTATCTATATTTATATCAATTGGCTTGTCACATTTCTGCCAAGCCCTATTATATATTTGCCCCTAGGATTCCTTTTTTAAAGTGCTGAGATTCTATAAGGAAATAATAGCACTGCACTGAACTCTCTAGAAATTGAGTAACAAATACAGTGAAAGAAAATGTTTTTTGGTAGTCTAATTTTGTCCCTTTTTTACGTTGAAGCTTTTGTTCGGAAAGATGCCTTGCCACTGGGAACCTTTTCCAAGTATACCTGGCATATCACTAATATCCTGCAAGTTAAACAAATCTTAGATACCCCAGAGGTAAGCATTTATTTCTAAAATAGTTTGAAGGTGGAGAGGGGAAGAGAGGGAACAAGTACAGGGAGTATGTTTACACCAGTTCCTTGCATTACAGATGCCAAAGAGAGTTCTTTTTTTTTTTTTTTTATGCTAAGATATTATTCAGAAATATCCATGGCTGGCCAGGCGCAGTGGCTCACGCCTGTGATCCTGGCACTCTGGGAGGCCGAGA